AGGCACTTAGGGAAATTGCGTTTAAAACTTCGGTCTCAAAGCTTAAATGAACAACTCAGCATTAAGCTTTTTCTGCTTTGCTCCAGGAACCAAACACAAGTAATTGTTTTCAACACCCACGTTGTTACAGACAAATGCGTCTTAGAATATACTCTAATAATAAATTAGAATCAGCACATGAATATCATACACAGATCCCTGTCAGGCGCAACAGAAATAGTGCATCCTGTTTCGATGCGTCGGCGCAGCATTCAGCCGAGCCGTGTGCAGGTTTACTTCGTTCTAATCGTATCAAACGACTATGTGTCTTTTGGCATTGAGTTAGCAGTTGTTTTTGTTTGTGTAACTTTATACAGTGATTTGGTTTTACTGGTTGGGTGTAAGGGAATCAGACGGATAATCGATTTTACGAGCTCCCGAAATAAACCGGGACCCTGGAGCTAGCAACAGTAGGCGCGAGTATTCTGCTGCTTTGTTTTCATTTCGCCTGTTAATGTTTGTGAACTAAAAGTTCCAACATTTCCGTAAGTAGGTAGGTTCACGAACGCCTTTGCTTATTTGCCTTTGCAACTAAGTAAAATACTTTGAGTTACAGGCGTACTTAAAGTAGATAATATACTCTTATGCACAAGTTAAATTTGTTTTGTATCCTGACAATATCAGCATTGATATCAGCATTTCTGCTGCCACGTGCATATAGCCTTAGTAATCGAAATGCTGTTTTTAAAGACCTTGTGGGTGGTTAGGCTATGGTTATGTATACATATAACAAGTCTGCTTTACGTACTCCGTTCACGTTGCCCGCGCATGCAATTGCAAATCGATCAACCATTCGATAATCTGATATTATATCTTCCAGAACTACTCAACTTCGCCTGACGTTGAAATATGTGAAAAGAGTATTAAGGATTTATTGTGATCCAAAGACCTTCATAGATATTGTTGTTGTAACCCAATGATATACCTTAGTGTATAAGATCATTGTTCTGTCCTCTCTAATGAGACATTAGGCAGATGGAGTGATCTAACATTCTGGGAATAAAGAAAAAGAAAGAAGAGAATGTATGCGAAATAGAGAAACACTTAAAATGCACAACAAAAATTTACCCTCGTTAGAAGGGTAGAATATTGCTTATATTTAATGGTCAGTAAATTATCTCCACAGAATCGAAACATCGCAACCGGTGATCTCAACTTAGGTGGTAGGCGTGACAGACATAGACAGACAAGCGTATATCAAATTGACATTTACTACGGCGAACATGTTGAAATAAGAAGAATATAGTTGTATTGACTTCGTGTGTGGCCTTATTATTCGAACTTTGGTGTACAAAGAGTGTGCAAAAATTATTGACTCCAATGATATCATAATATAATATCTATATATACTCGTATTACTTAGAAGTTTAATAATTCGTTTATAATAACCATTTAGTTCATCATCAGTTCCGGTTTTTAAGGTTAAGGGTGCTGGTAAAATTACAGGCACATGGAACTTGTCAACCTACGTCTCATTGTGACGGGCGCAGTGATAGTGCCCCTCAGATCTTTGCAATTTAAAGCTCTGAGTGGCACTGTAACAGCAGGCCTGTAGCTTACAATCAGACGCACGACTTGTTCGTCCGTCACTTGATGTCACAAAAAAAAAAATCTGAAGTAGGTACCTACAAAATTAAATTACAAAAGGTTTAAGCAATGATCTTAACATATTAGGCCATTGCGTTTAAGGCACTATAAAGCTCCCTATGGAAGAGTCCTTTCACGACGGTGCTACCACGATTTATATTTCAAATTCTAAAACCGGAACGCAATAAAGTAAATTTTTTTTTTATCATAACTAAGTGACGGGACGAACAACTCGTGCGCCTCATGGTAAGCGACACGTCTGTCCATAGCAATTGCAACGCTTTAAGCACAAAGATCCGAGGGGCACTGCCACTGCGCCGAACACCCTGAGACATAAGTTGACAAGTCCCATGTGCAATTTCACCAGCACCCTTCAAAACCGGAACTCAGTAATACTCACACCACTGCTTGGTAAAAATGCTAGTTAAACTACAAACACATTGGGTTCGTAAACTTCACGTCTCAGGGTAACGTTTGCAGGTGCAGTGCTTCTCAGTTTTTGCGATTTAAAGCTCTGGGAGGCACAGCAACTGTTATGGGTAGGTGAGTTGCTTACCCTAGGCGCACAAATTGTTTACAAGAGTATTTTAGAATTTGAAACTTAAATTCGCTGCCTTTTCCAAGTACCTAACCATTTTAATACTCACTACTTAAATGCATACCTAATTCCATAGCGTGAAAGCAATCGACCGACCTCTGATAGTGTTATCGTAATAACCACTTGAGTCCCGTGTCGCGTAAAAATAAAACGAACGCTTTTAAGTCCACACACCGGTTTGTACGTTCGCGCCTCAAACTCGTTGCATTTGCATTTATTTTTTACTTATATAATGAAAAGAGCTCTTTTCCTGCTCAAATATTTGCTGCAGCAAACATTACTTTAACGACGTATACGGGAACAAAGTTCTGTTTCAGTTATTTATACGTTATCGTTTCGGCTAAAGTTTAAACAAATCAGACTTAGTGGTGTACAGCACCGACAAGCGAGATTCTCATGCTCTGGCTATCATTCATGAATATGTAATAAAGCCCATTTCTAAGAACGAGCGCCTAATTATCACAATGCAAATCGTACAAACACTAGTAAAACGTTAGCCAACACATGTTGGCGCGGCAGAGGCCGGATCAAACATTCGTAAAAAACAAATAACACTGTTTGGACTATCGCCACTTTCGGTTCTGTTCAAACAGGGAGCGATGTTTGCCCAAGTGCAGGCGACACGCCACTGGTTCACGGACCAACTTTGAAGCACCTTCAAATCTAATTGTTTCACTACATCGGAAAGATCAAGTGTCGCTGGAGTCGGGTTACAAGGTGACACCTTCTCCGTTGAAGGATTTACCTGTCATAGGTTTTAACGGGTTTTAATGAGTTGAGCAAGGGTTGACAGAGGCTGTAATTTATTTTAAGCCAAATTCAACATGCGCAATTTATGGAGTGAAAAGGTAGTTGGTAGCGAGCAGTAAGCCCTTTTAAAAACTATGTGATATGTGTAGTTGATTTAAAAGTATCTCGTATTATCGTGTTTTCATGGTGCTCCACATCTAAGATATTCAATGTGACTTTTTTGTTATACTTTACACCATTTACACAGCAATAATAATAAAATGCATGCAAAAAGCAGTCATTTTAAATACATGCCGAATTATCAGAAACTTCATGAACTTCACTCCACATAGATACACACTACTACTAACTAGTGAAATTACAGGCACATGGGACTTGTTAACTTATGTCTCAGGGTGACGGGAGCAGTGGCAGTGCCCCTGAGACCTTTGTTGTTTAAAGCTGTGTGACACTGTAACCGTTATGAACACGCGTGGCGTGTTACTTAACACCAGGCGCACGACGAGTTCGTCCTGTCACTTGATATTTAAAAAAAAATACTATATGCACTTAATTTTGGACCGTAAGTGTGGTTAAAACCAGTCGTCATGCAGAGAAAGAAAAGAAAAACCAGGTAATAATAATAAAAAATATCTTTATTAAGTAACGTTTGTTTGGCTCAGTGTACTAAGAATACGAAACATAAAGAAAAAGACCGTAAAAAAATTGGTACATAAATTATACATCGTAATGGTTACAGAGAGAGAAGCCCAAGGGATACTTAATTTTGCCATTTTGTTCGCCATTTTATTAACACCTGCCTTGAGTAGGCGCGCGCAATCGATGGCTTCTTGCGCTTATCGGCTGTCTAATTACTCCAATTACTCAACTCAACGACCTGCCGACCAGACATAACAAGCCTTTTAAATATGTTAGCATGAATACAACTCGTTTAATATCGTGTAAGTTTGATGTAAACATTGATTAAAAAACCCAGATACTTCAAGTGAAGGCTAAGTAATAATGACAAATCTATAATCAAAGTCACTGAAGGGCTACCTTGCCTATTGCATTAGCATAGCCATACAAAGGGGGAACGCTACCAGCATCTTGGCCACCTTGCCGCGGGGACCAAATTTTATTCATATAATTTTTAAAATCCTAGTTTTACTTTCTAATATTTAAGCTTTCATTGTACTTTACCTGTATATTATGAAAATAAAACAGATTGCCTAAAGCCATTGAACGACAATTTGCATTTTCCACCGTTGTTGTAATAAGGCCATATCTGCAAAATTACAACTTTCCAGTAGAGAGGTTTAAAGTTTCTACGAACGAAATTAGTCGGTAACTTTTTATGGTTAAATAGGAGAGATAAAATTTCACACATACATAATTTGTTTCATGTAGTTCGTAATTATTTCTTTCGCCGTTTGATCACTTGTAGCTTTATTATACAAATTATCTCTTTTTTGTTTTTTTATGATACTAAGTGACAGGACAATAATTCTTCCGCCTCATAAGCGACACGCTTGTCTATAACAGTTGCAGTGCCCCTCAGAGCTTTAAATCACAAAGATCTGAGGGGCACTGCCACTGCGCCTGTCACCCTGAGACATAAGTTCACAAGTTCCATGTGCCTGTCATTTCACCAGCACCCGTACCCCTAAAAACCGAAACGCAGTAATACTCACGTTACTGCTTGGCGGCAGAAATAAGTAAGGTGGCAATACTTTCCCTTTTTCCCTGGACGAACTCTTTCACAAGGAGCTTTACTACTACTGTTACTCTCTACCTTATACTAATTCACATCACACGCCGGCTATGATTTTTCTCTAAAAAGATAGCTTTAGGCTAAATAAATAGTACAAAAAGTACATAATAAGTAATATTATATAAACAAAATCGATTAGATTAGTTGGCAGATAATTTTTTTTGACTACTGAGTCAGACTTTCATGGGGAGAACAGTCGTCATTAACGAACGTACCGTGATATTTCCATGTGATATGATGATGGTAGTAAAAAGTGATACATATTTTTTTCAGGTGGGTGGTGGTAGCAGGCGCGTGGCGAACGAGTGTGTTGCGACCGCCGATTCCTCCTGGCGCTCCAGGGTCTTCTTCACGGAATGACCGCCATTCCTCGCTGCTTCAGCTGGCCGCCTGGGGAGTCCCAGCTGCTCTTGCTGCAGCTGTCTTGGTTACTAGAGACGTTGATGCTGATGAACTTACTGGTAAGAATATTTAATAGAAAAGCGTCTAGTCTCTTGATTTTTCTTTTTCATTCTTGGTATCTGGTCATAAAGGATCATGTATATTTATAATGTCTGCTTTATTATGTACCGGATTGCAGGACGGACAGGCGCATATAATATAGACGCTTTATATAAGTCAGAAATCTTTAACACTATTTATATTACTTATAAATTTCCACGTTACTTCGAGGTCAACGTCCATGAGTTAGCTGTTGTTCGTACTTATAGAAAATGGATCTTGTTTCATTATCTCATCTAAAATTCATTTTCTTAATAGGTAACACTTCAACGCCACGAATTAGAATTTTAAAATAAAACTTCATGTAAATTTTAAGTCTTTATTTTACTAACTCTAGCCGTCTAAGTTTGACGTACTTGGATACAATGTAATAAAAAGCGTTACGAGGATTAAACTGCATCGTTCATTATGTATGAGATTCCCAAGAATTATGTGACTGCAGCTAGAACTACACAATAAGGGCGATCTATAAACTTTTCTTGTTTCTACACACCTCGTTCCCCACTACCCGGTCTACTTTAAAGTGGCTGCAATTACCTACTTATAAAGGTACCAAGTTAAATAGATAGTTAATCTTATGGACATGTCATATTTCTGGGAACCTTTTGAGTAGTAGTGTAAAAGGAACTAACCTTTAAAGGTGCTACAGTATGCACTATATATTATACATACATACAACTCTATAGCTCCAACCAACTTAATATAAACAGGGTGTTAAATTGTTTTATTAATAAACTCAACTCCTCGAACATAAAACCGTAAATTTAAAGAAACCAAAGCTGCTAATTAAGTTGCTTTACTTATAAGGCTAAATGTTACCACACCACAACAGGTTCCGATTACTGATTATTCGTTTTTCTTTCATGTACCTACGAAATGTTTGGTAGAACACTCTAGGAAATGGTTAATGATTATGTACGATTTTCTGTAGATGTAATTCGTGTGGGACTATAAGTTTCTTTCCAACCACATGCGCATCGAGGAATGTTCGGTAACGCAACCCCAAAAGAAAAACTCAACGATTTCTGACTGAATGCTCCCATTGTTTCGACGTATTCAATCAATACGTTCTAATACATATCCATATCGCATCACAATGCCTGACGATTCTCCGTTTATAGTAGTTTATAGCTTTCTTGTTTGATCGGCGGCGTTTTTCAAAGCGATTAAATCTGGTACGAGTGCGCAGGGGCACACATTCATGCGATAATGGCATTGAGTTGCGAGTTTTGTATTTGCCTCATTGTGGTACCGATTCTCAATGAGGTCTCAGAAATGCGCGTGCGATCGGCTGTGGGGAAGTTAAGAATATTTAATGGTTTCTGAAAATCGTTTAAACTAACAAAAGTTGAATGCTGTATATAAGTATACCTCTACATGGAACAAAACCCTGAATCTCATGTTATTTCTTTATTATCTTGATGTATAAAACGGAACCCAGCATGCAAGATTCTTATTAGAGTTAAAATACACAGGAGGAAGACTTTGTAAATATGATCAAAACAGTAGCGTTTATTTTACTTAGTACCGCTAATTACAAAGAAGCGCAAAGTGTGACTAGATAACAAATGACTTTATCAAAAAAGTCCTTATTTTTTATCACAAGCTACTTGCGGGCGTAAATTAAAGGATCAGAGTCGTTTGAACAAAACCGCTCTGATAAAAACAATTATTTACTTCTCTGGATCTAGCATACATAATTATAAATTAATACGTATTTAGAAATTTCTGAGATAAGCACGAACCAAGCGTTTAAGAAAGAAATTTGTGTAAACGTATGTGATGATAACATTTAGGAAGTTTTGCCGCATGAGAAACGCCGACAATTGAACTCCGCGGCCAAATAAGTGGCTACTAGTTTTAAGTTTTCATCCTCTTACAAGCATTAATGTTTGAAATAAATTATAGTATAAAAAACTTGTACTTTACACGCATTTAGGAATTTCTTTAGCACATTCATCAAAAAAGTTTAATATATTTAATTAATATATTTTGGCGTCTTTTAGCAACACATTATAAATCAGACGTTTATGAGTCGTATTCCAGAACTCTACTCAATGCTCAAGTCAGGACTTGAGTATGATTTAAAGCACTAGAAATCATACTAAAGTCCTTGCCGTTAGGGTCGTATTTCCAGTGCTTGAAATCATACTCAAGTCCTGACTTGAGCATTGAGTAGAGTTCTGGAATACGGTCCTGAGGGTCGTATTCCAGAACTCTACTCAATGCTCAAGTCAGGATCTGAGTATGATTTCAAGCACTGCAAATACGACCCTAATGGCAAGGACTTGAGTATAATTTTCAATACTCACTGCAATCCTCTAGTCCTGACTTGAGTACTGCTCAAGTCAGGATTTGAGTATGGCTTAAAGCACTCGAAAACATACTCAAGTCCCTGCCATTAGGGTCGTATTTCCAGTGCTTGTATTGCCAGTGCAATCCTGACTTGAGCATTGAATAGAGTTCTAGAATACGACCCTAAGTCTACTGAGCAGACAGAACACAATAAACAGTATCAACATAACATAGTATCGCTCACAATTATTTTAAGTATCGTTCAAAATATGGCTAGGGTCATGTTTTAAAGGCGCCTATAAATGCTAAAAAAATGATCGGCAGAACCGAGATGCGTCGTTACACGTTTTCTCAATAGGTGCCCTATAGCCTCTTTATTTATTATGCAAAGTTAGCCGCGTGTAGGTTAAAGTACTGTAAAGTCTTAAAGAGAGCAGAGTTCTGTCGGTCATCGCCTTTACATTTTATTTATACCGCAATCGCAAGAAGTGAGCGCTAAGTGCCACACCGGCACCGCCCGATTCTCAGGCATATTGCAGTTTCAATCATGCCACGAGCATTGTGTTTTTGTTTTTTGATTTCTACATCCATTATGGCCGCCGAAAGAAATGCTCAACCATTATTCGAGCCGTTAAATACGACACCTTTCCTCCTGCACGGTCGTATTTCAATTTTAAATCGGCCCTTTTAACCGTGTCTTATTAATGCAGCCTTTTTCTCGCCGTATGTTTGTGTAGGTGTTCACATTGAGCGCTTGAAAATTGGAATGTTATTCAGCTCGATAAAGAGTACTTACTAAAGGAAAGACAGCGTATCTGTTCAAAAACCACCTTTGCAATAAAGTAACATAACTATCTACTTACTGTACAAGGTTCATTCACTGACATGTTTTATTTTTTCTGTTTAGGAACGTGTTTCGTGGGCAACCAGTCGAGCAAATCCCTGCTGGCTCTAGTCATCGTTCCAGAAACAATCTGCCTACTGCTGGGTTGCGTTTTCCTCTCGTCTGGGTTACGAGCGGTTCTTCGCCGACCAAACCCTGTGCCTGCTCCTGCTACTCTTCTCAATGCTCCTCCACAACCACATACAAATCAGAGTGTGTTGCGATTGGGAGCATTTGCTGCTCTATACGCTGTACCATCCGCGTGCATTCTCGCTACGTGGGTCTACGAATACGCTTGGAGAGATGAGTGGCTTGCAGCAGCGGTGCCATCAACTGAACCGTTCACCCATCCTCAACCAGCTTTCTGGGTGTTTCTCTTCAGAATATTTGCAAGTCAGATCCTCGGTGTAATGGTGGCTGTGTGGATAGCGACTCCACGGTTAAAAGTTTTATGGAGAAGAGTCACTGGGCCGAGGAAAACTACGTTGGCAAAGTGTCCGACTGGGCCGCCGCCAACACCTCTCACTCTGCACTGTTACGCGACGCATCCACATACTCTGTCGCGACATTCACACAAGTACGCGACATACAGACCTCCACAAACACATTCGTATAGAAAACCGAGGCATTATCACTATTCAGCTGGAGAAACGATACTATGACCTAATGCAAACAGTTTGCGTGTTTTATACTCGTATTACAAATTCATTTCAAACAAAAGACTTGAGAAGTAAAAAGTATAATAACAGGAGCTACAGTGTGCTCCGATGGTTGCATTTAATATTTTTAGTTGTACAGTTGTGTGTATAGAGTTAATTGTATGTTCCATAGTGCCATTATTATAGTTGATCGAACAATTAACTAGATAAAAAGAAATTTGTGAATAAATAAGTAAATATATTTCATGTAAGATATTTGAGCAGGTATTTTTAAGACGAAACTTAATTTAAATTATTTCGCGTTAGAGTTACGTTCTGATTTGTAAATATAATCCCGGGAAAGACTTACACTTTTAACAAATAATGTGATCGTCTGGATTTTTAGTTTCCATAGTCTAAGAGCTATATACTACATTTGGTATACATAATAGATTTGACATACAATAAAAGATAAAACTGTAAAGAAACTTAAGTTTTAAGTATAGTGGAAGCCCACCTCCACGTAACCAAAATGTTCGCCTGATTTTGTAAATATAAATGAGATTGTAAATATTTTACCCATTAAGTATCTAAGGAAATACTAAATAAATAGGTACATAATAAAAAAGAATTTTTTATATGGTTATCACCGCTTATCAGCTAATTATTCCTTAATAAGTTTCAGTCATTTTTTTTTATGACACCAAGTGACGGGACGAATGAGTAGTACACCTGGTAGCGACGCGCCTGTTCATAATAGAAGCAGTGCCACTCAGAGCTTTAAGTAGTAAGCAAATATTTGAGGGACACTGACACTGTGCTCGTCTTCCTGAGATTGATTTACATCAATGTATTTTCATAAACTCTCGTTTACTTCTTGTCGTTTTGAGCATGTATACAAGACAAACTATTTCGGTACCTTGTTTAAGTCGATTGAAAAGCTACTGGTACCAGTACCTACAATAACAACATTATCTATGGCCTTATTTTGATAGAAAACTAGTAAGGAATAAAAATGAAATAATGTATGTACGTGTGAAAAATTCGCGAAATCACGACATCATTTAGCCGAACGACGCTCACTTTGAACGTAGACATAATTTAAACGCCACAAAGTACTTTTTCATTTGTCTTCATCATCATCAACAACCTATCTATACGCCGCCCCACTGCTGGGCACGGGTAGGAGACCCGTGCTAGGTTTTATGCCATAGTCCGCCGTACGTTGTAGCGTCAGCGCGCTGGCCCAATGCGGATTGTCTCCAATCGTCCACACGTCATCCGTGGTTGTAAACCTTTTTCGACGTGCATTCATCTGTTATGTTTCATCACGATGTTGTCCTTCACAGAAAAGCTTATGGTAAACTTCAAATTAAATTTCGCACGTAAACTCCGAGAAACTCAGAAGTACGAGCTCGTTCGAACCCACGGGCTTTCATTGAGATGCGGTAGGTCAAACCATTAGGCTATCACGGCTTTCATCATTATATTTTAGTATCACCTACTCATCTACCACATCCTTCTTCATTAAGATTCGTACAGGGTCAAGAGCACATCAAGCTTGACACTTAAGATTTAAATCCAACTCTATGCCGCTTACGATAAGACCGGTCCGAAGTACAAAGTGTCAAGCTGGAGCAAAAAAGGATGGAGGCCCCGTGTTACGCATTTCTGCTGCGAAGGATCTTACCTTATTGTTCCGGACTAACGATGCCAAAAATGCCTAAAATGCTCTTGGCCGCATTTATTCAGGCTGTGGTGGTGGTGTATTTTTAATTAATTTTCTATTTGGTGCTAGGGTGCTCCACGTAACTAAAGTTAAGCGAATACACTTGAATAGCAATACGAATTTATGTACAGTAGCTCTCACAGTTGTTACATTACGATTCCTTTAAAAAATGTGTACTCTCTTTACCTCCCCGAAATTAGTATGGCAGTTCTGACTCATCCTTATACAATCATTAAATATTTTAATTTATGGCCTAGGTAGACTTGCTCCGTGATGTTGATAATGCATTTAGTATAACATGCCATACTGTAGGTACTGCAGAGGAGTGTGGGAGTTTAGTTTCTACCTTTGATTTCAAAATTTACATTAGAAGTTAGTGTAACTTTAATGCACTCTGCGTGGTGCTTGCTCGACTTCTCATAAAATTTGATGCAATTGTTTTAACTGAACGCTGGATCTCCGATGCGACAACCATCCCACTAATTGCTGGTTACTCATCCATGAGCTCTTCAAATTATATTAACAGGGCTGGAGGCGTAGTTATTTATGTTAGTGAGAGGTGGACTTCCACTTTCTCTGAGCCCTCTGTTGACGAAGCTAACTGTGTGCTTGCTGTGGTTCCGAATGTGTTCTCCATACTAGGTATCTACAAGTCTCCATCTTTTCGTAATTTGGATCCTTTTATGCGGTCCTTTGAATCGGTAGTGACGAGTGTTGGTCGACCTTCTCGCCTCATAATTGCTGGTGATTTCAAAATTGACATCTGTGGACCTGATCACGACAAAGAACAAAACTCTAAATTTTCTTGTCTCATGGCTGGGCTGGGTTATGTCCCCGCGGTAGACAGTTCCACTCGCTTAGAGTCTTGTCTAGACCACGTTTACGTTTATAGTGGTACTCGAACTGCATCAGAAGAGTCCTACTGGTGACCATTTGGTGATTACCGGTCTCTGTCTTGAATCGCATAAACCTTCAAGGGTTAGAGATCAGTATCGCGGCAAAATTGACTATGAAGCTTTTCGTCCGCACTCTCTGAGGTGAATTGGGGTGATGTATTATTATGTGACTGTCCTACGACAGCGGCGATAAACTGGACTCTATGATTGCAACTGGCATTTCGAAAAACTCTAAGTTGATTAAAATAAGTCACTCTAAATTTGAAATTGAACCCTGGATGTCTCCTGGTCTGATAAGGTGTTCTAAACACAGAGACAGACTACATGTCGAGGTTCGCAAGGATCCAGATAATCACATGAAGTAGCGTATATTTGCTAGGTACCGTAACTTCTACACCGACCTCATCAGGAAACTCATAAGTAAATGTAACAGTGAGACCCTCAATAAAAACATTAAAAACCCCCGAAAACTCTGGGAGAGCATAGGTACGATTACGCACACTCGCCACACAAACATTAAATCTCTCGATCTTACCAAAATAAGGGAGACACTGGCCGCTGCTCTTGACTATTGCGTGTTTCCAGACAACTTGAAGACGGCTGCTGTGTCCCCTATACACTTAGAGGATGGAAAAAAATTAGTTTCCATAGTCTAAGCCTATACATAAGAGTGGATCCAAAGATGAACCCAAAAACTACAGGCCTATTTCTCTTTTAGGCACAATGTCTAAACTACTCTTCTTCTTCTTTTAAATGTTATGGCTCCATCGAAATAATCAATGATTTTGCCAATGTCAAGTAAA